TGTTGGTAGAACCAGATGCAGCAACTCCAGATGGTCTCTGGAGGCCGTTAGCTCTAGCGCTTGAGCAACAGTAAGTAGCTATAAAACGAAAGTTTTTACAAAGCCTGTTGCAGGAAAACTGGTGGTGACCTGCAAAGAGCCATAGTCAGTGTAAGAGAGAGAACTCGTAAAACACTGCTGTACTATGGCTAGTTTATACGATGCGGCGCGTGTGTACACGAGTGGCCAGTTTTGATAGGTTGCACGAGGGCGTAGCCCGAGTGGTCTATCAAACTGAAGCCACGAGTGTGGACAATCAGTAGACCACAAGCCCAATGCCATCGATATAACGTGTTCGTATGATGACATCCGGCGGTAAGGCTACTGACCAATGAGATGCACAAAAGCTTTCTAAAACGCCCTCGTTTTACGCACACACGTCGAGTGTGTACGGAACAATCGATCGGAGAGCAGACAGCTGCAATTAAAGCGCACTTAGTTTTGTCAAGTGGGCGAGTTGTGCAGAAGCCACTGGATCATTTTTCTCGACGAGCTACACGGTACAAGTACGTCAAAGCTATGCTTTTCGCTGCTAGAATCCGCACGCTGCGCTCACTGGCTCGCTTTCTCTCCCGCAATACAGCACTCTCGAATGCAGACTTGTTGTTGCAGTAGACAAGAAAGCTGAAAGTCACCGAATACTGTTCCAGTCTACGGGAGCTACGCGTCGGGAAGCAGCTCGCTAGTTTTCAGACCGCGTAATGATATAACTAGGGATCAAGTATAAAGAAACACACCCTTTCATTAGTACGCGGTGCGTCTTTATACTTGATCCGTGAATAAAAGCACCAATTGCATTCCACGCTGCAATTTCCTACTATCGTCTAACTCCTGTAGACCCACTGTGGTTTATGCAAATGAGTTGACATACAGCTAAAGTATGGGGAAATTGTATGGCCTCTTTATGTTCTAAATACCCTTAGAACCTCTCATGAATAATTCCCTTTGATGTTGAGTGTAGTAATCAAGTGTCTAAAATCCGTAGTGCTGGGTCTGTCAGGTATCTAAGTACTAAGTCTCTAAGTTGCAAGTTAGATCACTGTGAAGAATTTAGATCACTGAGGTTTCACAAAGGTCAAATTCGTAATAATCGAGGAGTGGGAAGGCCCATTTGCTCCTAGCTTCGAGACTGCCGCCGAGCTCATCATACAAGCATCGCAGCGCTCAGCCCGCGTCGTTTGGACGATTTGTTGTTGGTCGCTAGTCAGGCGTTTCCCGGTAGAGCGTTCGTTCCATGTAGCTGATTTCAACCCCTGACTAGCGACGCGGGCTGAGCGCTCCAGTGGCAGTGTCTTGCTCCGGCGGAGCTTGCAGGATATATCCGTCCAGTTGCTGCGATGCTTGTATGATGAACTCGTCCCGCCGCTCGGCGGCAGTCTCGAAGCTATGAGCAAATGGGCCTACGCCGTTTCCCAGCCTAAATTCTGGCGGGCAGAGCCAACTGGGTAACGGGGCTTGCACACTATCGAAAAGACTAAGCGAAACTGCGCTCTCCGTGCCGCGGTTCTAAGCCAGTTAGACCACCGAACTCGTCTCTCCTCGGTTTGAAAACCCTCGCGGGTCAGGATGAAGTGACCTCGGCTCCGCCTCGGCCACTATTGCATCATTCTCACCCCTCCCCCTCGGGTTATTCAAACCTCGTAGTGACTCGTTCCAGTGATCTAACCTATACGTAGACTGAGCAGGAAGCTATGGGGCGCCGTCTGTCTCAAAATATTTCAAATAACTGTTTTTTTTGTTATCCCGCGCTTCATTTGTAAATTCCACGCCGGTTATACAATATGCTATATCCAGTGCGGGATATGCTATATCCAGTCCGGGGTATGTATAATCCGGAAGGGCTTTGTATAACCGGCGTGGAATTTACAAATGAAGCGGGAGATAACAAAAAACAGCTATTTGCAAAATTTTGAGACAAACGGCGCCCCATAGGAAGCGCTCACTACGCATCTACGTTGTTTGGACTAGCTGGAATTCCTTTGATCTTACTCTCAGTCATCATACAACATTTTGTAGGAGGGAGTGATGTATTGTTAGTGCAAAATGTAGTTTTGAAGCACAATACCCCAGCATTTGCTGTTGGTTTTATGTCAGTTCCCATACTCCTTGCTGTGTACACACCCAAGTCAGCTCTCATTGTGTTCCTGGCCACCACGATAACCTGGCTACCATGATAACGTTGGCTGACATTGTCTCCTTGACCTACATACCTTAGCCCACCAAGACGAAGCTCTCATTCTTCCTATTAGCCCCAGTCTGACATATAGCTACTGTAGTGTGGTCTTGGGAAAGAGTGTGTCATGTAGTAACCTCTGGTTGTTACCATCTCATTCACCCCTGTAGCCCAAGTCTGACATGGAGAGATGTCCAGTACCTGATAGTGTACACAGCTAATCCTCAGCTGACTGCTGGTCCTCTGATAATAAATGGAGCTGGTCTGGCAGTGAGTCATCAGTATGGGTTTGGAGTGATGGATGCTGAGGCCATGGTCACCAGAGCTAGACACTGGATCAATGTACCTCCTCAGATGCAAGATAATGTTACCAACATCACACTGTAAGAAATCTATGACAGAACAAACCCCTAGAAAAGAAAAGGACTGAAGTGCAAACCCTCGGCGAACTGCGCATGCGTTATACCTCTAATTGATGGGCTGGGCTCTTAGTATGCATACGCGTGGTCTCCCGCTAGTATAGCTCTCGGAGAGTGTGGCACGGGCTAGCTACAGTAGTAGATCACATGCGGAACTGTCGATACACGCCTTCTGTTGTGACTTCTTGTGCCCTCAAGATACACAGAGCAAGCGGACCCAGTCGGGGTAAGCCTAAATTAGCATATTCACTTGTTCAGTTGGTTTTCACGCCATAACTCTGGAACGTAGTAGTTTTAAGAAAATTTAATCAAGCCAGTGTAACACTAATGCTCTTTGGCCGATTACTTGCGCGTGATGGCAGGTATATAACACACAGACAGACGGACACACTCGCGAACCCCTGCCAAGTGAGCCAGTATCCTACAGTAGTTGTAGCTATACAAGTGGAAAAATAATTTCTTCAAAATGAAAGGGGGATATAGGGATGGCTTGAAGGAAGAAACAAGGGGTCATTACACAGCAAAGTTGCACAAAGTTACATGACACGATCCCTATATCTTAACTTTGCTTATAAACAATAAAACAAAAATATAGGGATGGTGTCATGTAGCTTTGTGCAACTTTGCTGTGTAATGACCCCTTGTTTCTTCCTTCAAGCCATCCCTATATCCCCCTCTTCGTGCAAATCAACAGCAAGATAGCCAGTTGGAAATGTGCTTACAGAAGGTACTGGAGGCTGAGAGTTCCTCTGCAGGTCTGCCAACTCGCTCGCCTGGTAATACGCTCGCTAGCGCATTGGACAACGCCCCTGCCTGGCGCATGCACGCGGCTCACTAATGCTGAGTAAGCAGCAAATGGCGTTATTCAGGTCGACCATGGAAGAGCTCCATGATCTACGATAGTGACTAGCGGCAAGAAAGAAACGCTCGCTTGATGTCCGTGCACACCTCCGGCGAAATTGGAGACCTTCAGTGAAAAAATCAGTGCTTGAACTGGTATAATACTGGTAAGGAGATAGCGGGTTTAAAGAAGAAGAAGAAGAAGATGAAGAATAATTATGATGACACAAAAATGGTGAAATTGCGTATGAGCGAATTCTCGCTTGGACGACTGAAGGTGTGTATGAGCTCTTGGGGGACATGTATAGGTAGATATGGGCCCGTAGACTATTACTAGTATGTTTTGAACGCCTAGGGAGCGATTCTCACCTCATTTTGTACGCGGATCACGTGAGATTTCACCCGTGTCATCCCTATGTAGAGAGTCTACCGACTCTCTAATACGCATTTTCCCTCAAGTTTCCTAACTTTTTCGTAGCCTTACATTTTGTATCCGCACCTGTTAAAGTTTTGTTGGACCCAATTTATATATAATATGATTTTCATTGCTGCGACCTAATCAACCATGTCAACATTGTCAGTAAACTTGACCTGCAGTAGTAGAGGCTCCAAACTATGCACATGCAAGTGGGTAAGCCTTATGAGGATGAATTCCAAAAACACAACTGCGCTACGTTACACAGAATTACGTAACTACCACATTTCTTAACTGAAGGCTTTAGTCTCTAGTACTATGTATGTGAGGTTGCTTTTGGCTTCACAAATTGCAAACATTAGAGCCATATCAGACTTGATAAACATCCAACTCCCAGTAAAAAGAGTGTTCTTGAATGGCAGAAAGGGAAATAGCTACAGTTATCATTTCTGGTTCAGCATCTGTGCGGTTCATAATTAACCCTCAGCGTGCACGCGTAGCGAGAGTTAGAGTACTTGGTTCATAAGTGTGTCTCTCTGTCTGCCTGTTACCACGTTTTCTGCCACCATGCACAGGAAATTGGCCAAAAAAGACGAAGGGCCTGTGTCGACTCCCACATGCTATCTACTACTGTAGCTAGCCCATGTCAGACTCTCCACGAGCTATATACTTGCGGGAGACCATGAGTAAACGCATGCTACTAATAGCCCAGCCCATCAATTAGTAGTACCGCGCATGCACAGTTCGCCGAGGGTTTGAACTTTAGTGCCTTTGATTCTATGAGTGAAAACGATAATTGTGACCACAGGCAGCAAATCCCAGGTGTTACATATGCAGAATCACTCACCTATAATGGACCAATCCGTTACCTGGAACATGTAGTTGTCCGAATCTCAGTCACCGTACCAACAAATGTGCTTGACGTCGGAAGAGGAGATTTGTTTATAAACGTTACATCACCATCTGGGACACATTCCATTATGCTTGGGCCACGGTTTAAGGACAAAGAGCCTGGTGGATATGTTGACTGGCCGTTTATGTCAGTTATGTTCTGGGGTGAGAACCCAACTGGACAGTGGACCCTCCACATTAGAACAATTCGCTTTCCAGGGATAGCCATTGTTACCAAGGTGGAGTTTGAGTTCTACGGAGTGTCTGAGGTGCCAGAGGAAGTGGCAAACATTCCTGACCAGTGTCACTCTGACTGCAGCAGAGGGTGTGCTAGAGAGGGCTCCAACTTCTGTGACTCGTGTGTCAACCTCCGAAACTCACATACTCTAGAGTGTATAGATCAATGTCCGTCTGGCTACACTGAGCGTAGTGGTTACTGCTACAACACTACACTACCTCTTAAGGAGTGCAATTCTCCCCTTAAGAACAAAGAAGGCACCGACTTCACTCAGACTACGAGCCTCTTACATGTGCTGAGAATGGGCACACCGAATGTTGTCCTCCTAATGCTTTTTGTGGTGCAGCCCTGTTTCATCCACATAAGTGCTTCTGTGATACTCATTGTTATGAATTTGAAGACTGCTGTGGGGATTCTGCTGACATTGGATGCTCAGAGGCAAATGGTTAGTCTTTCCTTACTGCATGGTTTGCCTAGAACTACTAAGTCAATACCACACACTCCAACTTGAAGTATAAGTGCTATAATCCTTGTGATCCATGTAGAGTGCCATACAGAGTAAAGAGTGCCATACACATTGCGGATAAGGGGGGAAATGGTTGTGGACAGAGTTTGTTGAGGACTAGTGGTGGTGACAGAAACTAAGATAGCTAATGTGTAGCAGTATAATATAACGGCGAGCAAAGTGAGGTCTGATATGCCACTGCACATAACATTGTTAATGTCTGATGTAACTATGGTGAACCGCTCTCGTTCTTTCACCAAACTGTGATTCATATGTTCTATATAGTATTAAGATGCTGTCCTAGTGTGAGGCAAAATGTTATTATTATGTGACTCTCTTTGCTCTTTTTTCAGTTACAAAGACATTTCCTTACGTTAATCTTGGAGTTACACCTGGTGTTGACACACAATTTGTTGGTTCCTTGGGATATTCATCAGAAATTCCCGTGGCCTTTCCTTTCATTTTCTTCATACAAACCACACTTCATGTACGTCGTTCACACTATGATACACACATATATTTTCTTTAATTTCCTTAGGTATTTCACAATGGTTTCTTCAGATTTGAAGCTGCATTTCAAGAGGAGGTTCGAGTGGTGGCTCCATTTCTTAGCGCAAATGAACCTACAAGTGGTCTAGTTTCCTATGAGATTCATTATGGAAGCACATCCGGTGATATTCTATCTTTCGTCAGCTCAATTATTAATGAACATCAGGACATTTTTTTCAACGCTACTTGGCTTCTTGTTGCCACGTGGGAGAATGTAACACAATTCGGAGGCGACCCTGTAAGACTACACATTACTGACGAGTGAAATGAGCATACCTAGTCGTTTGAATTCAGGATTTTCCTTTTTAGTTGTATGTGGCACACCTGCATAATATGGACACTGCATATTATCATAATGTGTTACGTGATTCTAAATATACACACGTAAAATCCAACATCATTCTAAATGAATGCTTGAAATATTAAACGTGTGGTATATGTTCTTTATAGCACTATTAATGCTGTATATGTGTACTCTCCTCCCTCAGACACAGACAAACACTTTCCAGGGTATATTAGTCACGGATTACGTCACATCTTACACTGTCTTCACATACTATTGCGGCCACATGAGTTACAGTGGAAGAATTGGGTTTGCCCACACTGGGTTCAACGTTGATGTCACCCATGGAGCCTCACACAGAAACAATTCACATAAAATATCGTGCTTCAATTACCCTGAAAGTGCATGGGTGAATTTGGTGTATCGAATATCAGTTGTAGGTGAGGACATTATACCCCCTTTTACGTTTCCCCTTCTAAAAAGGAAATTCTTATGGAATTGTGGGAAAAATCCTAGCTTATCCTTCCCTTTTTTTAAGTTTGGAACAAGGCTATTATTTAACTATATATAAATAAATTTTAAAAAAGTGTGTTAGCTGCAACTCATGGTGTGATCTTTATTTCCGATATCATCTTACAGAAAACGAGTGTGAGGTGGACAACGGAGGCTGTGAGCAATATTGCACAGACACCTTCCTCTCATACAATTGTAGTTGCGAAGATGGATATATTTTGAGTGCTGATGGACATAATTGCTCAGGTATATCTCCAACTTCTACTATAGTTAGCGTTATGAACTCATTCATTTGTCAAAATCTCTTGCCACATCTTGTAAAGCTACTTACTGAGAGAGTTTGCTTCAAGGGAAACGTACCACAGCCGATACTTATAAAATCTCCCCTCAACACCAGCTCTATTCCCTTCCCTCCAGATATTGACGAGTGTTTAAGCCAGACCACGGATGTGAAGAGGTTTGCACGAACACAGACGGATCGTATGTTTGCAATTGCACTAATGGCTATGTGTTCGATGCTGTCGGACGTACTTGCAATGGTATATAAACGTATACCTCTTTAGCTTTATTCTCCAGCTACATTTCTCCCAAACAGATATTGATGAGTGCTTAGATTTAGATCACGGTTGTGAAGACGAGTGTGAGAATACGGAAGGATCTTATGTCTGCAGATGCATGGCAGGCTATGAGTTGGACACTGATGAACGTTCATGTCGAGGTTTGTAAAACACATCTGTTAGTACTGTCGCTCTACACAACTTTTTAAAGCTATATACCAGTTATTTTTGGGACCTCTCTTTCCTCCAGATATTGATGAGTGTTTAAGCCCAGACCATGGATGTGAACAGACTTGCAATAACACAGATGGATCATATGTTTGCAATTGCACTAATGGCTATGCGTTGAATGCTGACGGACGTACTTGCGATGGTATAACAAATCGTCCCTTGATAAAATGTTTAAATTTTCTTTTCTTTACCAGATATTGATGAGTGTTTAGCTACAGATCACGGTTGTGAAAATGAGTGTGAGAACACTGATGGATCTTACGTCTGCAGATGCATGGCAGGCTATGAGTTGGACATTGATGAACGTTCATGTCGAGGTTTGTAATAACTTTCTAATTTTGTCTTACACCAATGTGTAAAGAGGTAGCAAGCGAATGGCCATCTTAATATTTTGCAGATATTGATGAGTGTTCGAGTTCCACGGATGAGTGTGAACAAAGGTGTACTAACACCATTGGTTCTTATGTGTGCAACTGCAGTGCGGGATACAGTTTGATGTGCAGATATGGCCGACTGTGCCCGTGAGTACTTAGGTGCACATACTAGCAGTTTAATGTACTGAGGCAGCGTCTGTACAGATCCAGGATGAGTGTTGCTGTGCTAGTGATAAGCAGATACAACGGTGAGCATAAGACACACCGAATAGGGGTCGTTCTATGTAGTGTAGCTGTGGCGAAGGTATTCAACTGGATACAGATGGGCTAGACAGAGCGTAGTAATGCAGTTCTTACAGTAGATATATACTGTTCTATGATTACAGATAGGTTCACAGATGTAGGCTACATTTCGGCAATGTAATGTGTGTTGTAATTGAAATCACGAGAAACTCTGTGACGGTACTAATGTGCACAGACCTTCAGATGCAGTTAATTACACGAGAACAGGGCCCGGCGTACAGATCTGGATGACGTGTTTGCTTGTCTAAATTTAAATGCGATACGAACTGTGAGGCACACCGGGGAGGGCTTCCTAGGTCTGTAGCACGGTGTGGCGCAAGGGTAGGAACTGGATACAGATGGATATACGACTGCGCAGGTAACAGTTTTGTTTCTTTTACAGTTGTTCTGGATACATATAGGTGTCACCAGACTGTAGCTACATTGCGGCACATGTTAAGGTGTGGTTTGTAATATCGCAAATATCAGACGAAGAACTAGGTTATGAGTAATGTAGCGGACATTATCTATCTCTAAAGGGATGGCAGATCGGTCTTATTCTCACACACAATTACAACACTTCTCGATCGAGTCCGACAACAAACACAAAGTCAAGTTTACATACAAGGTGCTACATGTAAAACATTTTTCATGTACTTGATCGTCTTTCAATAATGTAGGCGAGATTGATTTCATAAAACTCTACGTACCTGTACCATCAGATATTGATGAGTGTTTAGGAGCGCAGAAAGCGAGGAGTCCATGGCCTCTCGCCGCGTTGGCGGAATGAGCCAGTATAAACGTCTGGACAGGGGAAACTACATCTGCTGGGGTTTAGTAAACCATACACTGGATCCTGCACCTGTAGCCCGGAACAGGGAAGGCTATGAGCTCAAGAGTGAGGACGAACGTACATGCAGGGTATAGGTATTGTGATAATAAGGAATGAGTAAAATAAGTGTTTGTATCTTATACATTCGATGTTGAAGAGTGCGCAAGAGTGGCATAGACACGATTGTGAATACCAAACTGCTGTACGAACACTGCGAGGGGTCCTATATATGTAGCGGTCGAGAGGCTATGCCCATCTGAATGAAGATGGTGTAACCTGCTCTGTGTCCTGTAATGGTACATTTACTGATCTTGTGGGCTCCTTCCAAACACCAAACTGGCCTGAGAGCTACCCCATTGAGGATTTCACCTGTGTGTGGGAAATTACCATTGACATCTCTGAAGCCTCTATTATGATCCTGTTCCAAGAGCCTTACGGTGTCTTTGGTAGTGAGCCTTGTGAAACAGACTATGTAGAGGTATTCTATGGAGTAGGGAGCAATACTACGTCTGTTGCAAAGCACTGTGGTGTTAGTGTTCCTGATCGTATTGTGGTGGACGGTAACAGAGCCACTGTTGTGTTTCGAGGGAGCATGCACTCCCAGATGAACAGACCTGGAGTGTCCGTCGTGTACCGAGCAATTGTTGAAGGTTGTGCTATATTGAGCATCCACCGAGTTCTAAGTCAGCTGTACTTGTTTTTATGCTATCCACAGAATTACCTTTCATTCCTCTACTGAATGTGGATGGTGCTGTGGCACGTGTAGACGATGGATTATCAGAGCCAATAACAATTTCTAACGGATTTCCTCTGGGACGCATGCGTAAATCCAGAGTCTATGTAAGCATGCTTTAAGCAGTACAGACATTATTATTAGTTAATCCAACAGGTTGGGACAAATGGTTACTTCGCTTTCAGTAATTTCACAGGATTTACACCATTTCCTTTTTCTGAGGGAAACGGACTTTCACTGGTGGCTCCATTCTTTACCGACATTGACATCTCAAAGGGATCTGGTAGAATTGAGTACCAGGTACACGATGATCTAAATGTGACGTTTTCAAGGGAAATAGCAGAACAAGTCAATCTTGTAATAAGTACCAACAAACAAACGAATTTCAGTTCTCAGTGGCTTCTGGTTTCAAAATGGGAAGATGTTTCACCATACGGTAACTATCAAATTGTGAGTTAACGGTAATGTTCTCGTGTGTCTTGCCAACGTACTAATATCTATTCAGAAAGCTTCATTCCAAGGTGTTCTTGCCACTGACCATGAGAGATCCTTTGCAATCTTCATCTACAAATGTGAAGATGAAAATGCCAGGTTTTCCAACCGCGCTACTATCGGTTACGTGACCAGTGCTGGTGTCTATGCCAACCATGAGGCAACATTTTCTAATAATCCCTACTCCATTTCTTGCCTGGATTATCCGGCTAGCCAATGGACCAATGTCATTTATGAGATCCCAGGTGCAGTTTCATGTCCAACTTGAATTGTGAATGCCATTACCGCTTTTCTTTCTCAGCAAGTGAAGCTGGTTGCGAGTTTGACTGTTAACTTAGAGACTAAACCGTCAAGTCGGAAGTAGTGATATATACAATAGAAACTGTTTTAGATACTAGCTATGTACCTATGTAACCTTGTGTGGTTCTAAACAGTTTTCGGGCTGATTGTCTTCTGTTGAGATTGATCTACCAACGCGAACCAAGTGATTGCCTTAACGCGCGCCTTCCGGCGGGATATCGGTTTATAAGCCTCAATGGGGGGGAATGCTATCGGTCGGGCGCTGCACGCGCGAAAGCACAGCTCGCATGCACCGTAGCAAAACACGCGGGAAATAATTTTGAAATATTTTGCCCGCCCTCGCTCCCCAAACCCTCCCAGTTTGCATCATAGCGCTATCTGTTGCTGTCTATAGCTAGAGATAGTATAAACCCGTGCACCTCTTGTCAGTTGTCATGGCCGGCTAATCGCGGCGCAGAGCAAAACAGCGCAGGTGCGCTAGGAAAACGCGTGCACAAGGCGCTCAGGCATTTTAATCAAAAAGTGGGAGTTAGAGGCCTGCCGTTATCTTCTAATTTCTGTTATCTGACATTTATTAGAAACAAACATGCCGGTAGAGTAGGAAGACGGACAGATACTCAGACAGCGTTACTAGTCATAACCAATGAGTAACAGGCTTGCCTCAGTGGGAATAAAACCCAGGACACTATTATTATACTATTGTAAGTATAATCCTATTCACAACAGTGACATGGATACCACTTTAGGTAATTGTTTCATAGTGAATCACACACAGTTGTTATCTGATGTAGTAGCAAAAAAGCACCAGGGCAGCTCTTACTCTCCGCGGCATCGCAGTATCAATTATTTACTCCACTACAAACATTCTTTCAGGCCACATCAGCGCGCAGTATTCCGATCGGAAGCGAGGAAGAGGGCGGGTTCGAGACCGCTATAAAAGCGTGCGCGCATAATCGGCGGGTGCAGGTTCGCAAAATCTGGTGAAATGGCCAGGTTGCTCGGCGCCCTGTTTTTCTGTGCAGCGTTTCCCGTTGCATTTATCTACGTTGAAGGAACAAGCGAGTTTTCAGCTGAGGAATGGTCACGTTTTCTAGAGAGTCATCGACCGAGTGCTCACTCTAAAAGGTACGTCAACAGTTGGGCTGTCGAAGTTCGCGGTGGAAAGGAGCACGCCAATGAAGTTGCGCGCCGAAATGGGTTTGAAAATCGTGGCCAGGTGAGTGTGTCTTTACGTCTATATTATAGCAAGCAAAATACGGTTAATTTGCAGGTTTCAGCGTTTTCTGACATTTACGAATTTGTGAAAATTGGACCAGAGAAAAATAACATTAAATCTGACACTCCCTACCATACAAGTCTGGAAGCAGAAAAGAGGGTAGGCCTATTATCAAACAACAATGATTATCAAGTATCATAAAAATGTTTAGGTTCAGTTTGCTAAACAGCAGTACTATGAAAAACGTATTACTAAGTCTTACATCATCCCGCAAGATCCCCTCTTTACAGAACAGTGGAACCTTGTAAGTGCATTCAATCTTTGCAAATCTTATGTTATCGTACATGCGCTGCCATATTGCAGTTAAACACTGGGCAGGTAGGAAGTGAATATGACGGACATAATTTGAACATTGAACCAGCCTGGCTGCAAGGGATCACTGGATGCAATGTGACTGTGTCAATTGTGGACGACGGTAAAGAGCACCCCAATACACAATAATGAATTTTTTTTTAAATGAAATCTTTTAGGGCTTGACTATCGTCATCTCGACATTTGGCCAAACTTTGTGAGTATAAACATATAATATTGTGTTAAATAAGTTATCCTTGTGAGTTTTTTCGCAGGCTCCTAGTGCGACATATGACTATGCCGATGATGACTTTGATCCCCTCTTCTATCGCGTGTCTCACGGAACTAGCTGTGGCGGAGTAGTTGGAGGAGCACACAATAACCTCTTTTGTGGCACAGGAATTGCATATGAATCCAACATCGGAGGTTAGCATGACTGCAAAAACAGTAGTTAGTAATAATTATAGCTAGCTTACAAAATTTGTGTATGTATACAGGTTTAAGGCTCCTCCCGTTATCTGGAGAAGCCATGGACATGCAGGAAGCAAATGCTCTGTCGCACGCAATGGACATTGTTGACATTTACAGTAGCAGTTGGGGTCGGAGTGACAAGGGAACCGTAGTCGAGGGGCCAAGAACTATGGGACAGATTGCCCTTAAAATGGAACAAGCAGAGTAAGGGATGAGTTGTGAGATTCCATGCAGTGCCCTATGTCATAGCTATTTCCCGCAGGGACGAAACGGAAAAGGGTCCATTTATGTCTGGGCGAATGGCAATGGAGGTTTTCTTGACACCTGCGCCACCGACGGATTTGCATCCAGTATTTACACCATCTCTGTTGGAGCTATTAGTGCTACAGGCTTGCCTAGTTTCTTTGATGTAGAGTGCCCTGCAAAGCTGGTTACTGCCTATGTGACTGACCAAGAAGACGACGTGGACATAGTTAGTATGACTTGTATGCACCCTCACACACCAAACTGAGTAAACAACCTTTGCAGAGAACAACAGTGACTGGTGGAAAATGTAGAGCTGCTTTTGGTGGAACCAGTGCAGCAACTCCAATGGTGTCAGGATCCATTGCTCTAGCCCTTGAGGCAAAGTATGTTCATTAATGCTTGAGCATTAGTAGTAGTAGGTTTTATTATTATTTTCAGATACAGTTTCGTAGTAAAACATGGTTTACTTCCTCAATTATCCACCAGCCCAAGTCTGACATGGAGAGATGTCCAGTACCTGATAGCGTACACAGCTAATCCTCAGCTGACAAACGGTACTGATACAGATATAAATGGAGCTGGTCTGGCAGTGAGTCATCAGTATGGGTTTGGAGTGATGGATGCTGAGGCCATGGTCACCAGAGCTAGACACTGGATCCATGTACCTCCTCAGATGCAAGATAATGTTAACACAGTATCTCAGTCAGTAGCTAACCCTGATTAAGATCATTGTAACATACGGGTGAACTTCCAGCTTTATATATATACTAGTCCTATATATTCTCTCTAGGAATTATGCTTCAGCTGTAAGCGAAGCGCACCTAATAGTCAGTTGTATGTTTTTTTAGATCCATGGGTTGACATTTTCTGCTCACTAGTGATGTTTGATGTAACTAGAATGGAATCGCAATCATGTAGCCATGCCTAATGTGACACTAGCGTTTGCTTGCACAAGTGATAACTTAGTGATAACTTAGGGGGTGCAAACACACTACCATAATTATACTCTGGTGGAAACAGCCCACCTATTTCTAAGAAATGAGTTGCTGTTTCCAGATTGTTAGCCCTTATTAGCAGAGCATATCACACTGTCAAGCCATCAGCAGAGTAATTAGTAGCCTGTGGTTCTGAACTAATGAATGAGATTCTTCCCCATACTGAGCTTTTACCACTGGCATGTGCGGACCTTCATGCATACTACACATAGACAGTTGTTGGTTAGAGCTTACTTAGGCTCTGCAGCCCCACTCCTGTATGTTAGAACAATCAAAAACTTGGTTAAAAGTGCAGACATGACCCAGTTAGCCAAGTAAGGACAGGTAATTCAGAGTGCCTCGCAATACATGGCAGGTTCTTTAAGACAAAACAAGCCGTGGCAAGGATTTGGCAATCTATATGTTTACCTACGTGTTGCAACAGTGATGACAGACTGTCGCCGAATACTTTGACAAAACCAGCTGCTGAATATAACTCCATTCCCAATTACCTAAACTTACCTCATGACCAGTTTTAACTTTGCGAGCGAAGCAAGCAGTTTAAAAATTCCACTCCTGTTTTTTGATCGTATTTAGAATCATGTAAACATTACAGTATGTGCCAGTTCACCGTTGCCAATCTAAAAAAAAATTAATCTGTCGTAGGCAACAAATCTCAGATTCACAATACTTGGGAAAGATGAATTACAGCGGATCAATCCAGTACTTGGAACATGTTGTTGTCCGAATATCTGTTGAGGCATTAGGGGGTATCGGAAGGGGAGATATACATATTGAACTCATATCACCATCTGCGACATTATCTGTTCTCCTTAAGCGACGGCTATTGGATCGTGCCGAAATAAATGGGGGTCAAACAGCATATGTAGACTGGCCCTTTATGTCAGTTATGTTCTGGGGAGAAGATCCCGCTGGACAGTGGACCCTCAGCATAATGAGTGTAAACCCTTACATTGATGGTGTTGTCAATGTTAGTAAGGTGGAGTTTGAGTTCTACGGAGTGTCCCAAGTGCCAGAGGCAGTGACAAACATTCCTGACCAGTGTCACTCTGACTGCAGAAGAGGGTGTGCTAGAGAGGGCTCCAACTTCTGTGACTTGTGTGTCAACCTAAGTATTCTTCCTTTACATTGATCTTGGAGTGACGCCTGGAGTTGAAACACATCCTGCTGTAGAACCTGTAGAAATCCTTTTTCCTTTTTTTTCTTCGATTTACTCCAATATCACTGTAAGTTTCATTTGAATAGTGTAGCACCTTTTCATTCTTCCGTTTTGCAGGTGGCATCGAATTGTCTGTTTGACAATGGAGGTTGTGAGCAGATCTGCATAGATACCTATCTCTCAAATGAGTGTGACTGTGAGGTCGGATATGTTTTGGATTATAATGGAACGTCATGCTCACGTAAGACATTGCTGCTGTTCATGTGTGTAAAGGATACTCCCTAATAAATTGGTACAGCCTACTATACAATTGAGTTGCGAGCAATTGCCGAAACATTGAAATTCTCTACGTATTCTGTTATACAGCGGAACCAGTTGAGCTAGCGTTCACAGGGGACACTCCAATGGTGACAGGTCACAACGTTTCAGTGCAGATATATGCGTCACCACCGAGGCACTTGCGGTGTCAACTAATCAGTCGTGATGCTCCGGGAATGCCAATCCGCACAGCAGAGGAAATCTGTTAGTAGCTACAATTAAAGTTTGAGTATGGTTTATCGTTGTGACGACACAGGTTCGAGTGGTGAGGTTGTGTTCCAGAATGTACCAGTTGGTGAACACCGAGTGAGGGTCATAGCTGGAAACGGAGATGCAGTCATCCGCAGTCATTTGATCCTAATGCCTCACAGCCCGTTCTTCTGCTCACTGAATGCAATCAACCGAGGGATCACCAAGGATTACTATAATGGCACAGCCTACTATACAATTGAGTGGAGAGCAATTGGTGATGATGTCGGATTTCTATGCGATTTTGGCATCCCTGAATATGCAGCAAAATGTATGTTGTGATACTATTATTTCTGACAGTGTGTAGGTTCATATGCCCACATTACAGGCAGCAGTCCATACACTTTCCCAGCAACGGACGGAGTGACGAGGGTGAAGGTGCTCCCAGATCCTGAAAAGTGTCGAGGGATGCGCAGCCCCTATGTGTTCAAACTGGACTGATGTAGTAGTAGCTAACACAGAAACTTAATAAAGACTAAATTTAGTATTTAGTTAAATTGCTGAACAAATGAAGAGCTCTGTGTGACAGTTTGTTATGGGCTTTTGAATCTCAATACATGAAATTGCGAGCGAATAACGTTCAGAATGAATTTACTACCCTTCTTTTGTTACGACAGATAGCGTGAAGTCCATCAATGATTCTTTATTACCCACACTGCTTAAAACCCTGTCTGGGAAATTCTTTGTGATGTATCTCCCCTCATAGTACAGTAACGAATGCAATGCACTATTAGGCAAG